GTCATTGTAATTTCTCCTTATATGCGTTATACCAAGTCACTCTTAAGTCTGAGAGAGTGATGGACTTGTGTTTTGATTAGTGCTTACTTTGATTTATCATAGTGTGCCCTAGGGTCTAAATCTGGATACTTGGGGTAATCATTAATTTAGGCATGGAAACACTTATTCTTAAGATGACATCTATTCTAGCATCATTTATTATTGCCTAGATTAATTTTGATCACGAAATCTGGCACCGGTTGTTTTGATTAAATGTTTTATTATTTATTAAATATATTATTTTTTCAAAATAAATGTATAATGTGATCAAATAGAGTTAATCAAGAAGTCAATAATAAAGGATTAATTAGTGATTGGATTGATGGCTTTATATATCCAATATCCTAATTATGCATAGAGGGGTATTCTAGTCCTTCAAGAAGTTCATTACAATCCAAGTATTGAAAAAGCCCATCTAGATCCCACTCTATGATTACAACATGAGTGGTTGGATAAGACTAAAAGAGAGAGATTGTATGGAACTAAGAGAGAGGGGTGGCCACCTTAAGGGAGCGGCCCACTCTCTCTCTCTCCTCCCATAAATATATGGTTGTATTTATGTTGTTCATATACACTTGTCTACATACACATTTCTCGATGATATCAAATCAGCGAAGAGGAGAAGACTTGTTTTTGTTCTCCTTCTACATCATCTTTGATTATGACCAGAGAGATGTGACAGCGTCTGCAGAAACGTCAACCTGTTCACCACAGAGAGAGGGAAAGAAAGAGCTGTGGGTGTGGCTGAGATGATGAAATCAGAAGAGAGTAGGAACTTAGGATTAAGAAATGAAATTACAAAAAAAAATATTTTCCAATTTCTATTGGATATATTATATAATATATAAAATATTATATATATATATATAATAAATGATTTGGTTCGATTTAGTCCGGTCCGGTTTGGTCTTGTAGGACCTCAAACTGGAATCGAACCATAATTTTATGGTACCATTATTTTGAAACCATGACAAAACGAACCGTTAGGGTCAGTTTGGTGCAATGGAAAAGGGAGGAAAGGAAAGGAAAGGTGATGGAGGGTGATTAAAAAATTGTGTTTGGCGTAAATGGTTGGAAGGAAAGGAAAGGAAAGGAAAGGGATGGTTTTGGAAGGATATCACAAGGCTTAAATAGTAACTTTCTAATACATCAAGCCTCTCCTTCTCTTTCCTTCCGTTTCCTCCCAAAAATGGGACGAAATGTAATGGGAGGAAACGGAAGGAAAGAGAAGGAGAGGCTTGATGTATTATTTTTGATGCCAAATTTACCCTTACACAAAATCAAGATTACACTTGATTTTAGGATTTAGTTTGCAAAACAAGAATTACAAACTTTGATTAGTTGATTTAGAAAAAAAAAAATTAAAACAAAACCCATACATACAAGTTAGCAGTTGCAGAGAGAGAGGGGGGGGGAAGCTTGAGAGTTGAGAGACAATGGGCCAGCGGCTGAAGATTGCGAACGACGAACCCAAACTGGAACAGCGGGCTATGGAAACTGAAAGATATGGGTTTTGATTTTTTGAACAATCTGAAATGATGTGCCGATATGGGTTTTGATTTAGGTAATAGGTTTTGAACTTTTGATTCTTGCAGACAGATAGATAAACTGAAATATAAGGGTTTTGAAGATTTTGTAGTTTGCAATTGGAGAGAGAGAGAGAGAGAGAGAGGGCAAGTTCAGATTTTGAGAACGAGAATAGAGATGGAGGCGATTGGGGAGGCTGAAATGATTTGCCCTAAAAAAAAATTTTTTTTTCTTGTGGCCCATCATCCATGAGCCTATAAATTTTGAGGCCCCATAAATTTATCTTTTAAAATATAAAAGGGCATAATAGTAAATTTATTAAAATAGAAATTTATTAAAATACTTTCCTTTCCGTTCTTTTCCCAAACATGATTATTATCCTCCTTTCTTTTCCTTCATTAATCAACCAAACACGATAGGGGGTTAAAATTATCCTTCCCTTCCCTTCCCTTTCCTTTCCCTTATAACTAATGTTATCCTTTCTTTTCTTTCCCACCGTACCAAACAAAGCCTTAGAAAACCGAACCGAATTGTCCAGTCCAATTTGGTTTGCAACCCTAATTGGAAAGGAAGAGCTTGAAGATTTATAAAGATTTCTCATAGTTGGCAATCTACAAGTTGCCCAAAGGCATAAATCTTGTTTCTTCTCTTTAGGATTGATTCACAATGACTAATGGGGGGTTTTTAAGCTTCCACAAAATAGACCTGCTTTCCAACACGAACCTTCTTCAAATTATGAAATAAAGGCAAAATATTTGTTTTTATTTTATTTTATGCAATTTAGCCCATATATAGGGTTATGATTAGCTACATGTCCAAGATGTAGGTATTTTTTTAAGCATCAAGTTTATCAAATCCTCAAATCCAAAGGCGGCATAGGGATACTACTAAAATTCATATTATGTAATATTTTGTTTTATTTCCTAGAGTAAAATTTTTTTTTCTAAGAATCAACACAAGTACTTCATCTCCTTTTGAAGCAATAATGTAACAAAGAAACATAATAAGAATGTACTATGTACATTTATATATGAACTTGAATTATTAGATAGACTTCTTAGGTGCAAGTCCAGCCAATCATGTTGGATACATATCTTATACTCATGTCACATGTGTTTTAGAGAGTTCATGTAAGGAGAGAATTAGAAAAGAGTACAAAGAATTATTTATCAAAAAAAGAAAAGAGAACAAAGAATTGAAGGAGAGAACTTTATATCAGCCCCACAGAACTAGAGCTAAGTCATATAATATCCTGGAGACATAAACCCCAAGACATCCAAGACTTCCCACAAAATACATTTAACTAACTCATTGGACTCTCTATATTTGAATTATGCAGCCTTTCATTCCTTTCTGTTAGGGATTGGGGTCTGTTGTAGGGGTACGCCACTACTTATTCTTTGTACTATAATTTTCGTATTAATATGCTTTCCTTCATTTAGGAGGAAAAAAAAAACTTTACATTAGCCCATCTTATGTGTGAAGGGGGAAACAACATCCAGGTTGTCTAATACAGCCACTTGAAAGGTCCTTTCATTGGAAATGCATAAAAAAAAAAAAAAAGGGAAAGAATGGTTATTCCATTAACGAAGCAATTTCTTCCAGGGATTTATTCCTCCACTAGCGTGTAACCAGGGCCTAGTACCCAGAAGTTCACATTGCACTAGCCAAAGGACAATTTAGACTTCTGACTAAGAAACAAACGTGTAAGGTGTCCAAAATAAGTAGTTGTCTTATGAATCATAACTAGTACATGCAATTAGATGACTCATTTATCAAATTTAAGAGCAAAGTGACTAAGAAACAACCATGTGAGGTCTTCAAAAATAAGTAGTTTAGCTCTTATGTATCATAACTAGTATATGCAATGACTTATCATCTTCTTCTTCTTTTAGTAATTCTTAATTTTTGGTTTTAAAAGTAAAGCTTCAAAAGAGTGGTTAATTTATCTAGGACTAGAAAAGGAATAAATATGAATAACAAGGAAGCAATTTCGGACAGGTGGCAACTAAAAGAATTTCAAACTATATCCTTGTCATTCCTTTTCAAATGTCACAGAGGTTAATAGAAGGGAAAGAAAAAAAAAAACATATTGATTATAAAAGTGCACTGCATTACACAAAAATAGTAGTCTCTGGTCTTCTGCATTCACAACAGCAAGAAAGTTCCTTCATTGCAATAATCTCATAAGGGAAAAAAAAATTATCTCATTTTCCACTTTATCTAGATTGTTGCTGAAAGCTTCCATCCCACAACTGGGACTTGGAAGAACAAACAAAGAAATTACATTGAACAATGCTAATGATGGCTTTTTATTTGTTATATGAAGTATTCCAACCATTTGAACCTTGTATGCCTAAATTCTAAATACCTATACCTTTTCCACTACAGAAGGTAAACATATATTGCAACTTGAATTGTACTTCTAATCAATCTAGTAGATCAGTATGTAAGTCCATGTAGACCATAAGTTTGACAATGTTACCGACGGCTTCTTTTTCAAAAAATTTGACTGTGTAAGATGTATACTTCTTTCAGTATATCCTCAGCCCTTCTCACCAGCAATTTTGCTGGGCAAGTAAAACTAAAAAGGGCAAACAAGAAACATATGGAAACTTATAACTGAGACATTCCAATCATAATTGCCAAACGTAAGACCACCTTTTGATATGTCCTCAGCAATTCTAATCATCATTATTCATCTTTTATAAAATGTTAACCCCAAGCAGTTCCATTAAACAATTCCAACGACTTCTTCCAGTCACATTAAAATCAAGGTAGGTAAAACAAATAGTTACAGGAATCTCCTTTTGCTAATTAGACAATAACAAAACCGAAAACACCCATAATCAAAGGGCCATGAAAATACAAAGTCCTTCATAACACCAGAATTCCGGAAAGATGAAGAAGCAAGAATGGAAACCATCAATACCTTAAATTTCAGTATAAAACAAAGAATAGAACTACCGAAATACTTATTATCAGTGATTTTTGAGCTTTAGAGTCCTTTGCGTAGCACTATTTGGCATAATTCAAACCTACTTCTCAGTTACACAGTCAATAAATCACAGTAAAACTTGATAACACAACCAATCCAAATACACCAAAAAAGAGATCAAATCTTAGTACACCCCAAACCAAAGAACAATTTCGCTCACAATTCGGACACAACCATAAATTATGCATACTATAAACCCAACAACCAAAACAATCAAAGCCAAAACTGATAAACTTGACATTCAGATCCAAAAACCCTAATCTTACCGATAACAAACACAACAAAGCTACTGATTCAACACGGCTAATCCCAAGAAAAAGAAAACTACTCTAGAAGAAGAAGATCATAAATCAATTAAGAATAATAAAATGTGATATACAAAACCCTAAAATTTCCATTACAGTCGAAACAGTATATAAAGAGAGAGAGGATTTACAGTGCTTCTACGGCGCTCAGCAGCAATAGAGAATCCGAAAGCGACTAAGCTAAGAATGACCACCAGTAGATGAACTAAAGTCGACCCCTTTCCTTCCCCCATCTATTCCGTCTAGAGAGAGAGAGAGAGAGAAATGGGCTGCCGGAGGTGAAAAAGTGGTACACTCAGTGAGTGTGTTGGCGTTTGTTGTTTTTTGTACGCAGTAGAGTGGGAAAAGCAGTGTGAAAGCTTTGGGGAAAGTGGAATCTCAAAAGACCCACACGACTTAACCGAGCGTCCGTAACACGCAGTGGTCAAAGAACTACTTTCGGTTTTAGTCTCTTTTTTAAGAACGTTGTACTATTCAAATTGCAGCAAGTGTTATCATACAGGTTTGGTACTTCTGTTTCGAAGTTTCGCTGTAACATACGAAGCTAAAATATTCGAAGTTTCGCTGTAACATATGAAGCTAAAATAGTTGCCAAACAGTAAGTGTTAATTCGTATTCGTGGGTCATAATCGTGTCGTCGTGTTGATATAAACGTAATAATCGTATTAAAAACTCTCAATACTAATTCAACCAGTTTATTAAATGAGTAAACGTGTTAATCTATTTAATGACTTATTTATCACAATGAGACATTTAAATTTAATCAAATAATAAATAATAATAATAAATTATCACAATTAACCTAAATATTCAAAATAAGAAAAAAATTATAAAGTATAGATAAGGTTTATGTTGAAATGATTTATCTATTTATAGTAATTGAATTTGAACAGGTAACATATTACATATGTAATATTTATGATTATAATATGTTGAGTTAAACAGGTCATAAATGGGTTGAACCATTCAATCTTAATCCGATACGATTAAATAAATGAGTTAATCGTGTCAACCCGTTTATGACTTGAATCAGTTTAAAGTCAATCCCAACTTACTTATACCATATCGTGTTCAAATCGCGTTGGCGGATCATGTCGTAATTTGCCACTCCTACCAAACAGACTTTCATTTAAAAAATTAATTCTCCGAAATTAGGGATGGCAATGGGGCGGGGCGGGGTGGGGATCTCATTCCCCATCCCCATCCCCATCCCCGCTTAAAATTTCACCACCACCTCCATACTTGCCCCCGCCCCCGACCCCTTATCCCCGTCCCCACCCCCATCCCCGGCCCCTACCCCAATTAACATATATTATTTTTTATAAAAAAAAACGTATTTTTTTTTATTTTCATATATATACTAAATCTAATTTAGTAATAAATTATTAAATATAATGGTATATTAGTAATTTAACCTTTAATCAGGGCAGGGCGAGACGGGTTTACCCCATCCCCGCCCCCGGTGGATTTTCAAAACTTATCCCCATCCCCAACCCCGTTTACATAAAAGGATCCCCATCCCTGCTATAAACGGGGCAGGGCGGGACAGAGACCCGACGGGAATGAGAAATTTGCTATCCCTATCCGAAATTTACTTACAATTTTTTACAGAATAAATTACATTGACATTACTTTCCAAAAAAAGAAAAATTACATAGACATTCCCTCAGGGTCGTGAATATACACTTTGTTTGCCAAATGAGATTTGTACGAAAAAAACCAGAGTTCCTCTCTTTTGCTAACGGTCAACAATAAAAAATATTAGTCAACAATTTTGCAACAATCAAATTCCAATACTACCATTAGAAGACATCTTTATTATACTAAAATACATTACATATATATAAAGACAGAAAAGTAATTACAAACTCAACAAGTCAAATCAGTGTAATTTATCCTTTTTTATACACTTGTAATTAATTTTCCAAATTTCTATGTATAAAAATAATCCAACCACTACATAAACCAAGGTTAACCCAAGCCTAATGTTTCCAGTCCTAACTTAACCTGACCCCGCCCGAGTTGCATTCCTCTTCGGAATCAATTATGACCATCGGTTCCATCAAACATTGTCTAGGAAGAAGAATCACTATTCAACAGCCTGTTTGATATGAAAGAGAGAAGGAAGGAAAAGCCTTCTCAATTGTTTGACAGAGAAAAAGAGGGAAAAGAAAGGAAAGATGAGCCACCAAATTACTCAGTCCCAAAAAGTGTGAGGACAATATTACATTTTTTCTCTTTCAAGAATCTCTTTAATCATGACACCATGCTTTCCTCATTACCCTTCTACAAAACCAAATATTAGAAGGGAAAGAGGGATTTTCTTTCCCTTGGGAAGCCTCTTTGATCCTCCCGCCTTCACTTCGAATTTCGATTCGTCCTGCCAAACAGGGCATCATATTTGAAGGGAACTACTCTATAAAAATACATGGAAGACACCAGTGCAAGAATTTAACTTCTGGAAGGAAAAAATGTCCCTGAAATATCTGGATATGCTACTTTACATCTTGCAAAACAACAACATTTGAATCGAGTGGCTGACAAATGTGGCTCAAGCTTGAGGAGAGTCATCTGACACAGCTGCAGCTCTTTTCTTGGCGAAGTACTCTTCGGCACGCGAAAGGTTCTTAGCAACTGACGGCTTCACCCATTTCTTTCGGCCAGGTAGAACGGTCAAGGAACAACCAGCAGCCTCAAGCTTCTCTTTTGCCGCTGCTGAGAAGGCTCGGGCCTTGAAGTTTAGCTTCACCCTTAGTTGGCCATCACCTAGAATCTAAAACAAGGAGATGAATGTATAAGCAAGTTTCCATAAGTAAACATGAAATGTTCATATAATCATCTTCAGTTCCCATGTCATGTCAACACACTTTCAAATAAATACATAACCAATTTCAGGTTCTCATCTGACGTTAATCTTTCTTCTATAGTATCTAAAGCTGTGGCAGTTAAGTGGACGGGCCACGGATGTGTTTTACACTCTGAGGTGTGACTACAGATGGCTTTCACAGGGCTTCTTTACGATCTGTCATCAACAGAACCCATGGCATAACATTCATGATTGCATTCAAACTACAAATGTTACTGGGCTTTTCAAACCCCTTTCCATGAAAATCATTAGGTATGAATATGTTCGAACCCTGTGACAATTAGTACAACATAAAACTAAAAAATACAAAAACAAACCAAAAGGGGAGGAAAAAAAAATAAAAATTCAAAGGTTATTGCTTTAAAACACTTTGGTTACTTCCAGTCTTTCAAGTGGGATATCCAATCAGCTGCTTTAAATGGCTGTAAAAAAGATTGCACATCTGTGGAGACACTATCAACTACCAAAAACTAAGTTGAAATTAATGAAATCAGGTAACAAAAGTGACTTCTGAAAAGCCTAGCTGTGACTTCTACCTTTGAATTGTGAAAAATAAAATAAGTCAAGATTAAATTGTGAAAACAACAACAAATCTAAATTAGTTATAGAAATACCTACTCTAAAGCACAAAACTGTTCACCAACCAATAGAAGGACTGGATTAAGGTCTAGTGGAGAACTGTCTGGGTCCTGGGTCGAGTGACACTATTACAGGTACTTAGGAAATCTTAAGAACTTTAAGAAGAACAAATATGTTCACAAGTTTTTTATTTCAACCATTATATACAAAAATCTGTTTATAGGTTTCAGACCTCAGAAGAATTGGAGCAAGTCTTGTTCTGTACTAGATGTTTGATTTAGCAATAAACAAATCAAGATATGTTTACAGCTTAAAATCAGACCAATATTCATCAACTTATATGTGTGATTTCAAAATGACCAAATCAAGGACTGTTACACTCTAGATCTCAAATTAATCAAAGGCATGCTTACTAGCCACCCGTACTGAGTTGAAGAATATGGAAAAACATAAAGATGCTGAAGCAGAAAGTTTACTCAAAGCTCCAAATCGATTAATTGATCACCACTTGCCAGGGGCAGTTCATAAGATAATAAATTGCTGCTGCTGCTACTACGACTAGTGCTGCTATTGTTATTATTACTACAGTCTACAACTACTATTACTAGTGCAATATTACTATAATACTACTACAACTACTACTCCTAGTGTGATTATACACATTCACATTGAAAGAGCTGCTCTCCACAAAAATAGTTCTAGGATTTGAAAAACAATAGGCATACTGATTGTCAAGATGGTTCAACTGTTTGTTCTAGTTTGGGATTTCAGAACAATGATAACACTATTTTTGTAAGAACAAGACACTTTCCACAGAAAAAATAAATAAATAAAAGGTATCACTGGACCAAAAATAAAAAAGGATCAATATATTTTGTGCATATATATGAAGCTATCCATCCACATTTAATTGCTTTGGAGCTTACCATTAAGGTTCACTTAAGTAGTTTGATTGGGAAAACTTGTTAACAGTGCTACGATTCAATATGGATGTACCTAACAAACCTTTGGCCAAAATTAAAATCATAATGTTCGTTTACATCTTTGTTTTCAAGCCTCGCTGATTTAACCATTGCTCAAATCAAAAGGACTGCTAGTGTGCCTCTTGGTTCAAATATAGCCTATTGGTTTGGCAACACCTATCTTCATGGACTTGCTAAAAAAAATAATAATAACAAATATATATATATATAAGAAAATAAAATTCTTCTACCTTCATGGAGTAGAATGTTACACCAAAAAGTTGGGGACCTTGAATAACAAGGTGGATAGAAATCTCAAAGTGACACTGTGTAAGCAGATTATGAAAATGTTTTTGGTAGCCGGTGAAGATTGAATTTTAATGTTACTACAAGTTCATCTGACAATCACCAGCAGCACGGGCTGCAAGTAACCAGGTAACAATGTCTGGCCACCTTCGGATAATTTCTCCAGAAATTTAACAGTTTATAAATCTAGTAACCATTGTCAGATCGCATCTTTGAAGGAGAGGTCAACAATTGTTATTTCAAATCAGCTTTCGAGTATTATAATATTTTACGCCAAACTATAGTGAAGGGACAAAAAAATACTGGTGCATCTACTTCATATAATGGTGGTCAGATGCGAGTCAATTATGTCTAAATTGAAAATGGTGAGAGGCCAACAATGACGCATTTTTTGTAATCAACAATATTACAACAGATATTATTTTTGATGGGTTATAAATACTCGTATGAAGTTCTGCTGGCAGCAAAATATTAAGTTACAATAACATCTATAAAATTCCTAATTAATAATAGTCTTCTCTGTGCACTCTCTATTACATCTGATCAAGCTATTCTTGAAAGAAGAAAGAGTGATGCTCATGTAATTTTCTTCTCTAGATAACAATACAAGGATCCTATGCTTTCTCTTATGTCAATCTCGAATTAATTAAATGATACAGTTATTGCAGCATAATAAAGGGCCTTTTCTGCTTGTATGTTATCTTCAACTGGCAACAAGCATATGAAGCTGACTTTGTACTGGGAACAAGGTATTATACAAAATGAAATTATCATAATTCTTTTTCTTTTCTTTTTTTTCTTTTTTTTTTTTGATAAGTGAAATTATTATAATTCTACTACAATAGAAAGATGTAAGAAAATAATTATACTAGTAAGCATTTGATTTGAAAAGAAAGACGGTTATTGTCAATGCAAGCTACAAATCCATAACGTGATGTTCAGCTGAAAAAGGATAATTTTACAAGATGAATTGACTCAAAATAACTTTTTCACTGGATTTTTTCATACAATAACATGCAATCAGAAAGTTGCGGTTCGACTTCATTTATTACTTATCAGCAAATTTATCATTTGCGCGTGCACACACATATTTGTATCATTTTCAACTATTCTTTACTGTGTTCTATTTTATATGTGCATGTTGAAGTAGATACAAGTGTAATACCCTGTTTTGCAACTTTAATCCAACATATATGAACCATCAATTTGTGATGGTGGCAAATCAAGATTTATTTGGGGATTACTGATGTCCATTTATAACCTATGATAGTTGGGCAAAAATTCCATAAAATAATATTAACCTGACATGAAATGTATGATTTCACCTCCCTACATATGTTTGTAATATACAAATACAAGTGTCATTATTACCTTTAAAGGGAGTTTCCTTTCTCTTCCTGATGGATTTATTAAACCCATCTTCTTCAGTGTCTCCAATGATACCTCTTCTCCTTCTTTAAATCCTGCAGCTTCTATGTCTTTTAAGTTAACCGGGACATACTTTGGTAAACCAGCATGCATACCTTGCATCAAAAACAAACAAACCAAAAAAAAAATACAAAAACAAAAACTAATAAGTTATCATGTAAAATAGGAAAACTGATAAAAAATATATATATATAAAAAATAAAAATAAATAAAAAAAAAAAAAAAAAAAAGCCCGTGGTAGAAAAGTGGGCAAAAAAGAAAAAACATATATAAAGGCAGAATACAAGTTTAAATTTCAAGAAAACTACTTAAGAATGACAACTTAACACAAAAATACATGAATTTTGAAAAAAGGAATTATATCATATAGCATATATAAGATGATTGTGGCGTCTCACATCGGGAGAGAGGTTGTTGGCACTTATATGTGTGGACATCTCCTACTGTGTAGACATGTTTTGAAAACCGTGAGCACAGAGAGTGTGTAAAGCGAACAATATCTACACAACGGGGCGGGTCGTACAGTGATACAGTTGGACTTCAAGATTATAATAGTTAAAAGTTTATAAAAGCTGCATATAACTTATACGAGCCACTTTATGGGAAGCACAGAAGACAATAGATACAATCAGAGGTCTGGGAGAGGATTAACATGAAAGAAATTGTTTGCGGAAATCACTCATATTGAGTAGTAGGTCATTGGTATTGCGAGATGCAGCTATGACTTAGCAGCATTCAACCTAGATAGAGCTTAACAGCAAAAGGGATCATGCAGCTGACCACGTACAGTGAAAAGCTTAATTCATTTTAGCTGACTTATGCCAACTTTAAACACAATGATTGACCACTTCAACAATCATAGTAAGTGCTGAGGTAGAAAAATTGTAAATCAGAGAATCTAGCACATTAGAATTCCACTGGCATCCAAATTTGAGAAGCACATTTAATGAGGTCAATATTGTCTAACGAGCTAGTTATGCCTAAGATGATTAGATTTCATATATGGCATCAAATTAAGTATGTAAGAAATGAGAATTTCTGTAAGATATAATGTCCTTAAGTGGTGCAGTCTATAAGAAATTTAGTTGATTGCATGATGCAATTCTAACAATAATTGTGATGCCTAAGGAGATCTAGGTAAAACGCCAAACTTCTTTTATGTTTCTTCTTTCTTTTAATTTTGCTACACCTTTTAAACCTGCAATACAAAAAACCTAGAACTGTTTAACGACATTCCCACCCTAAAAGATCCTATTAGAAAAGCCAAACTTTTCCCCTTTTCCCGACCATTTAACATTATCGAACAAAAGAATGTAAACCACCCTAGAACTAATTATAAGGAACCTTAAAATGCCGTTTATAGCGCTACTCTACATTAGTGTTAGTAATAGATCATGCAGGAGAGTATATTGGCACTCATCCTATATCATCATGTCTCAACCCAATCACTTCCATAAGGCTATTATCATAATCACTAAATTTGTAGGGACAATGACTGTATCTAGTGGAGCTAACTATCAACAAGTGAGAAGATAAGGCCATGTCAAAAATCTTATTAAAAGAAACAAAGATTTATCTATTCAAAGTGTTCTCCAAACTTCAAAGAACAAACTTCAGGTAAAAACAACCTGATAGGTCGAATGATATGGTATCAAGAATAGAAATTGAGACAAATTTAGACACAAAGTGGTAAGCATGCACAAATATTTATGCACAAGGAGTTTCTGATCCCTACCAATTAATATTCATACATTTGCATTTATTCTTAAAAGCAATAAAAGAGAAATAATTTATGATAGAAAAGAATGGAAAAGGCAAATCCATGTGGCTGAAGGAGAAGGATTCTCCCCTTTACTTATTCTCTCTGCCACTCTGCTTAATTTTAGAGTAATGCAACGAATACGATGCCTGAATTGGTTTTTAAAGTTTTTAGTTCAACGATTGACACATCAATTTGTAATAAAAACCGATCGGGACTTGTATCATTTTCTTTATTTTATAGTTTAGACTGCCCCAAGTGAGCTAATAAACTCTTGTTTTATTTTATAGTTCAGACTACCACGCTTTTAGTTTCAAAATCAGTTTTATATTAACCATATAGCACATTTTTACAAACATGTAGAATACAACAATTCTAAACAAATAAATTTCACCTTCCAACAAATACTGTACAATTTAGTGATTACCTCCCGCAATTCCTCTCAATTTGGGGACTCTACGGTAAAGCGGCATCTGCCCACCCTCGAAGCCCCTGCGAACCCCGGGACCAGACCTTGATTTCTGACCCCTCATTCCAAACCCACAACTCGCACCTTGACCCGCCGAAATACCCCGACCCTTTCTCTTTGCCTTCTTCCGGGAACCCTTTTGGGGTCCGAGATTGTCTAGCCGAAACCGAACACTAGCCATTGTTGCAGAGACAGGCGTTGCAGAAGAAGCTTGGTTGACAAAAACTAGTGGCCTTCCTGATTTGCTCCTCCTGCTGTGGTTAAGTTTGAGACATGGAAATAATCGACTTGGATTCGCCTTGAGATTACTCAAATTCCCCTGTAATTGAGAAATGCGATTGTAATCATTCATGATGAATAACACAATACTGAAATATACATTATATATACATATAAATAAATGTATATTGAAGAAACGATGAGAATTCACCTTGAATGAAGAAGGTTGATGAAGAACCACTGATGTTCTAGTCAGGGTGGTAGAGGGGAGAGAGAGAAGAGAAGCCATGGTGAAGGAGTGAGTGACTGTGTGTTCACTAATTGTTCTTGAACGGATAGGGATAGCTTTTTCTGACGTCGCCCTCAGTCGCGATGAATTCTCTAAAATTACAGTATTTACAATTTTACCAGGTTTCTATTTATATATATATATATATATATATATATATATAGTGTATAATTTTTTTTTTGGGCAAAGGGTAAATTGAAGTTTTATTTGCAACCCATATCTGACGTGGATGAAAATATAAATAGGTGGGTATGCAACATTATTTAATAATTTAAATTTTTACATAAATGGACATATGACGACCTTGTGGGCGGGTGTGTGTGAGCGTGTGCAGGTAATACCAGTAGGCTATCACACTGGGCGAGTTACAAGTGCATAATCCCACATAACCTAGGTGTGAAAGGGGCAAGTACTATATGTAAATTTAACACTCTTCTATGGCACAACGCGTTTTAAAACCGGGATGTCTGTGAACTTATCAAAACTCCGATCCGACGTTAAACGTGCTTAACCTGGAGTAATACTAAGATGGGTGACTCCTAGGGAAGTCTACGGTCCGAGGACCGTGATCTCCGTGAATCTACCAGAACTCTGGATTTAAGCGTGCTTAACGTGGAGTAGTACCATACCCCCTGGGAAGTTTTTGGTCCGAGTGAGCAAAAAGCGGACGATATTGTGTCTGCACAGGGTGAGGGGTGGTTACAAATATATCAAAGCCTAACCCAGCCGCAAGTGTGGCCAATGAGGACGTTGGGCCCAAAGGGGGGTGAGGTGGCAAGGATACAGTTGTCCTTTTACAGTGAGAATGTTAGAACTGTCCTTTTACAATCACTGGCTAATGGTGATAGCTATACACTTTGTGTGAAGGAGCCAAGTATTTATGTTGCTCTATATATAAGCTGCTATAGATTTTTTAGGTTTAAGGCTAATACTAAAAATCCCAAAAAGCAACCTGCATTGCAATTCTCTCGAAACCTTCCTATGAACCAAGTTTTATGAGCTTATTGATGATGATTCAAACCAAAAAAACCTATTAGATCAAACCTTGCTTATGTCTGTACTATGGAGACTATGCTGCTATCAAGGCTGCTAGTGCAAGGGTTGGACTAACGTGTGAAACTGAGCTCAAGGCAACTGTGGTGCCAAATGAAGTCTAACTCAGGTATATTTGAGCTTCTTACACTTGTTTAGCACATGTTATTGAACATCTATATGTTGCAAATGAATTTGGTCTACAAGGGCTGTTGTTTAACTTGTTTTATAGTTTAGTTTTGTGATTCAAGTATAGATTGGTTATGTCTTGCTATTCCATGTTTGATTTATATGCTAGCAAGTCTACATTGATTGATTAAGAGTGTAGAAGTTAGGTTTTGGACTGAACTGTGGTCTGCCTTGGTTTTAACTGACCAAAACCCTAAGGCTCTTCTGTGAACTGTGATGTGTCGTAAATATTTCAATAATAAAATATTACTCGCAATAGAACGAATCCTTTGGAGGATAAGGCTACTTAGAGGGTGTCGAACCTCAAGGACTATGATGGTTTATCAAGTCTTTAATTAATACTATTTTAATTTAGAAATAGAGTTTGTTTGTTGTGTTGTGATTCAATAAAATAAACAAAATTAAGATCAGAGAGAGAAAATCTTAGGGATTGACTTCACCACGAGTTTCATACTATAGTCAATTGTTCAACCTTAGGATTTTAACACTTGCGTATAATATGGAATTAAACTCAATAACATTCGTTTAATTTAGATTTAAAGAAAGATGTTTCATGAATTTCAGTTAATAATAACCTATCTTTGGTTGGCACAAATTATCTACCTACCTACTTCTAACTAATTTTGTAATATAATTCGTCTTCCCTAGGCATAGACTATGAAAATATTCATTCACAAAATACGTTTGAACACCATTGCATGATCTCTATTCTTATTGTCCAAGAAGCCCTTAGCCACCAATCTCGTACACTAAGAATAGGTTGAATATAATTTATGAAAAATTAAATCCAAAATAAGGTATTAATTTCTCAAAAACTAATATATTTCATTAAAATCCCAATTGCTTAGAATATCTAAGTCAATTGCTCAAAATCATACAATCAAAATATATAAACAGTCAAAATCCCAAAGTATAGAACAATCAAACCATAGTAATCAAATTAGGGTTATATCAATGCCCTAAGAGATGAATTAACTATTCATGACGATGAAAGATATCATCTGTGTTGTTGTGAACTTCATCATTATGGACTGCACTTCTCTTTTGAGAATCTTCACCTTCAATGCTTCATAGAAAACCAAAAAAACCCTAAAAGCCGCCACTAGATCTAGAATTATTTGCAATAGAGAAGAGAGAGAGAGAGAGATTTTCTGTGGCCTTGTGCATCCTTTTATATAAGCAACTGACTTCTAACAAGGATTGGATGGACTTTAGGTTTTCTGGGGTCTATGTAACGACCCACTCCACCACATGGTATGATATTGTCCGCTTTGGGTCTGAACCCGCACGGTTATGCTCTTGGGCTTTACCCTAAAAGGCCTCATAGCAATTGGAGATGACACACTTACATATAAGCACTTTACCTTTCCTCTACCCAGGCGATGTGGGACTGTGCACCCGTAGCTCGCCAGTGTGGTAGCCTATCAGTATCTCTCGCACTCGCCCACGGCACACCAGCCCATAGGGTCCTCACAATCCACCCCCCTTGGAGGCCCGACGTCCCCGTCGGCACACTTCCGGCTGGGTTAGGCTCTGATACCATTTGTAACGACCCACTCCACCATATGGTATGATATTGTCCGTTTTGAGCTTGAGCCCGCAAGGTTTTGCTCTTGGGCTTTACCCCAAAAGGCCTCATACCAATTGGAGATGACACACTTACATATAAGCGCTTCACCTTTCCTCTACCTAGGCGATGTGGGACTGTGCACCCGTCGCTAGCCAGTGTGGTAGCCTGTCGGTATCTCTCGCACCCGCCCACAGCACACTCGCCCGCAAGGTCCTCACAGTCCATCTGGCCAGTCTGGGATGAATTAGGACTTAATTAGAATTAATCCCGCAACTTAGAAATCTGACTTAACAGGAAAGGCTTGAGTAGAGAAGCTTCTGCTCGAGCTTTTTGACTGGTGTTCAAGCCTTTTGACTTGTGCTCAAGCACGAATTCCATACTTAGCCATTTTTCTTCAATTTATTTTCAAAGCGTTTTTTTCATCAACACTTAGAATATTTTGGGACTTTTTCTTCACAGTGCTCGATCACCTTGGCTTGGGTGCTCGAGCCTTTGGCATTCTGTTCGAGCTTTTTAGGTTTTGCTCAAGCCTTTTGATCTTTGCTCGAGCTCTAGTAACATGAACTTCCGAGGTGTCTTTTTATATTCTGATGGGAGTTAATGCTCGAGCCCTTTTGTAAAGGATCGAGCACCTTAAATCTCTGCTCGAGCAAGAATACATCTACTTGAGCCTTTTGGCATTTGTTGCTTTTCTTGCCTCAGTTGACTTCGTGCTCTAGTTAGGGAACTTGTGCTCGAGCTTTTGCATTTTAACTTCTCCAAAATCACCATTTTGACTCCAAGCTTTCTTCAAATGATCAGGAACAATTCTATAAGCTTCAGTATCAGTCTTTCAGTCTCAGAATCCCAGTTTTATCCTTTTCTTTGGGAAAGTACCTACAAAAGCAGAATAAACTAAAATCAATTTAAAACTAGATAGAAGTACTACTTAAGGTCTTAACATACGCACGTTGAGGGGCTCAAATATACAATATTCAGTGCTTATCAAACTGTTGTTGTGAGGCCTCTTTGTGATCATTGTGATATACTCATGTTGTAATCTATCTGTTTAGCATCTGAGCATGTGTGATATACTGATACAAGGTCGTGGAAGTGATTTCTGAATTATTGAGACTTGAATTTCCATATTTGACCCTCAAACCCTAACTTCTGTAGAAAGGGTATCTGAGGTAGTGAAGTGGATTGTTGAGGTGTCTAACTTATCCCACTATAGGTGAAGACTTGTGTTTCATTGATTTACATTTGTTACAATGTATTTGGTGAGCTGTGAGAGCTTGCAAGGTCCAAGCAAGGGTGCTTAGGACATGAGGAATGTAGTGTGCACATTGTTAAGCTTGTGTGTGTATAGAGGCTGTGAAAACTAGTGTTTAATCTTGTACAAGGGTGTGTGCAGAGAGAGACAACTGAGTGTGTAACTACTTGCATATAGCTAGTGGATGATTTATTGGCTGAGGCCAAGAACCAAGGTTTTCCTTATTTGAGAGGGTTTCCTTGTACTTCCTGCGTTATACGCCTTGTGAGTTGTTGTTGAGCTATCTGTCATCCAAGAAAGGATTTTAAACTGACCAATTCACCCCCCTCTTGGTCTAATAATAATAATAATAATAATGTAATTATAGTTAAAAAGGGTATAAACAAAGTAACCATCAAACTAGTTACATGGTCATCACTCCGAGCCAAACAAAAAGGAACAATAATAAAATAAATAAAGGAAAAGGCAAGAAAATAATTATATAATAATCATACTAATATATATTTCATGAGCCAATTCTTGGCTTAGTGTCAGGAACCCATTAAATGGCTCGTGGCAGCAAGCCATGAACCACACAATATATATATATATTTTAAAGTGGGATGACGAGTGTAGATTTAGGAATATTTGTCGTTATTCTTCTCAACCTCGTGCAAAAATAATAAAAATGTACAAATACTTAATAAAAATAATATAGTAATAAGCAGGGTTGAACCACTCTGAAGTTAGATTCCGAACATAAATTCAAAACATCAATTAAAAGCGATGGAAAAAGAATTTTTTAAAAAACAATTTTTGAATGTTTAAATAATGATATTAAAACTAGAATTGAAGATTTATAATCAAATAATGGTAAAAAATCTCAAAGGAAAGAATCCACCACCACAGATCCATATAAACAAATTTCTTTTATTCTTATCAATTTTCTTTTGGACAATACTTACCTACTCACCGGTGAGTAAAAAACTTATACTCACCATATATGTGGCGCAATACTAAATTGACAAGTGTT